GCACGATAGCCAGCTGTGTGTGATGGTATGTTGTCTGCACAAGGTGTAGGCGTCTTGACCCTGAAAGTTTTGCTTAGGGCATTAAGGTTTTCAGGTAAGTCCCCTTCTCTCCCTCTTCTTATTCTTTATTTCATAGGTCCTCATGGTTGTATGGTAGCGAAGCATCAGTTCAAATGGCTGATGTACTGCTGTTTATGATGATGACCGCGATTCCGATTGAAGATAAGTTGGTGACGGCGGTATATGCTCGTGCTCCATCGCCCATCAAGTGATCCGATAAACAAATGGCAAGGATTTCACCACTTCGCCTACTCATAGCCTGACTGCTGTAGGTGTGTGCATTTTGTGACCAGCCACGCCCTACACTGGTGAGGTCAACGCTCTTACTGACCTCAGTCAGTGGTTTGCCTGTCCGTCCCAAGTCGTATCCGAGTCAGATTATCGCGTGCTTTGGATAATTAGGTCGACTGGGTCTCCGCATCAGAGTGGCCGTCAGCCAGTGCAGTTTGCAGTCGAGTCTCCACTTCACATGTGGCCAGACAAAAGGGGCAGAGACAAGTGTGACGCTGAGCGCACGCGCAGACTCATGGACGCTTGCGCTCCAACACAGCGTGTCGATTGGACGGTTTCAATTTAGAGAGAACGCGTCAGGTTTCTTTCAGGCGCGCATTGATGCGGCAAAGTGGGATGCTGCTGGACCTATATTCTCAGGCTGCCTGTAAAACTCTGCAACATCATAGAACCTGAGCAGCACGGTTTTCACCAATACCGTTGATGCACAACTACCCTACTGATTGCACGCAGTAGTTGGACGGAAACGGCCGATAAAGGCAGAGGGACCGACGTCATTTATCTCGAATTCTTCAAAGCATTCGACTGGACCACCGCACTCTGCTTCACAGGCTTGAAAGCTATGGAGTTAAGGATGCTACCCTGGGATGTAACAGGAATTTCCTGCAGGATTGGTAAGTGAAGGTCAGAGTTCGAGGTGCATTGCATAATTCGATTCATGTCGAATGTGGAGTTCCATAAGGATCAGTTTTAGGGCCGTGTATGTTTCTCGTAGTTATTAATGAGCTCACGCGTTTGATTGCCTCGGATTTCTTGTTTGTCGCTGATGATGTCAAGATGTGTCGGGTGATAAGCGACAAAGGAGATCACGGGGTATTTTTATAGTGTTGCTCATCCCAACAAGATCGGAATGGCCGAGGTCCACCTCAAATGAACCGAGGTCTCAATAGAGGTTGCTTGTAGCAACCCAAGCACCAGCGGATTCTCCAAGTTCACCTTTGAGATCACGGAGTACTTCAGCGAGACCTAGACATGACGTACGGATGATCACTCCACTATGCACTGTCCAGCCTAATTCGTCTAAGTGTAAGGTGGTCCACATTCGTCACCAGGTAAACATCGAATACAAGCAGTTATCTAGGAGCGCAGCCTTAGGATATTAATGCGGGCTGATTTGGGATGTTCAGAGCCATCTGAGAAGGTGTCAAAAACAAAAAACCAACACGCTGGAATGCCGTGGAGAGCATTCGGACGGTTTGATCCGTCTGACTGTTTGCAGTTGCTAAACATATACGTGCGGCCTCATGCGGAATACGCAATCCAGGCCTGGCAGCCCTGGCACAAGCAAGATATCGCAGCACTCGAGAGTGCACAGCGAAGAGCCACAAATCGTGTCAAAATATAGTTCAATTTTACATATCAGCTTAGGCTGATTTTGAGGATTCACAACTATGGCTGATGTCACCAAATACAACCCAGTCACAACACGAATTCGAGGGGTCACCAGCTCAAGTTGGCTACGCAATACAGTTGGCTGGAAGGTCGGTGAAACTTTTACTCTCTTCGTGTCTGCCAGTCATGGAACGCTCTCTCCCGAAGTAGTTCTTCCGCCCCCACATTCTCTTTGTTCAAAAAACGCATTGACGTTGTAATAATCCGCCTACATTACGGGATACAACCCGTGTACATCGACAGACAATATAATGTGACGAACGTTGCACTACCAGCATTAACATAGACAGTCGAGGTTAGCTCTTTTCTGCATGCCTGCGTGAACACTTAGTTTCCATTTCACTGTGTTGTGATTCTCATTCAGGTCATCCTAAGGATTAGCTAAGCATCTGCTTTCTTTTACCCGTAATATACCATCGTTCCATAGTACATTTCATGGCACTGACTGGTTTCGGGTTTTCCGAACGCTGGGCTAGTGTAGCTGCAACTGTAACGGACAGTTATGATTTACAAAATGCACTACATAGCACCAACGGGTAAAGTGGAATCAGTTAGAGGTAAGCGGTTGACAAACATGGTTATACAGTGGTATTGTCGGGACAGAGGCAATGGTAGAGAAGCGCCTAGAAAACTAAAACTAGGCACAAGTTCACTTAGTTTGCAGCAGCAACAGTCCCAATCAGAAGGTTCGTTCGAACCAGGCTCCGTTCGCAAAACCCAGCTGCATCGATCAGAAGAAAGCAGAGGCTTCAAAAGGTTATCATCAAGAGCAGTTTGCGGCCTCCGTATGCACAGCCGAAGCCAAGCGGTGAGTGGTACAGGACAGTATCGGGTAAAGTGATGGGTGTAGGTCACAAAGTATGGTGAAAAAGGAGCAGCGACGGTACACCTCGGGAAAGTGAGGACTTTACCAACCATATCATCGGTGCTGATGTAACTGTTTATCATGGGTACTTGTTTGGAGGTGTGTTGTTATCAAAGTGGAGACAAATCAGACATGCTCTGCACTACCACCACTAAGTTGACTTAAGCAAAATAGATGATTGAGGTGTGAAAATTGTCATTTAGAAGGATCAGGGTCGGAGCGTAGGGTTCAACGGATAAGGAGCTGAAGGAGCTAATGGTTGTAAGCTAATGGGAAAAAGGCGAGGGATTGAGTAAGAATTTACCGAAGACAGCTAGCAAAAGAAGAGGTGCACAGAAACCGTTTCTTAGCAAGCACTGCAAAATGACCAAGCCGCAATGAGTACCGCGGTGATTAGAACAAGAATGGAATGAGAAAACAAAATGCAAGAGTAACGAGGAAATCCGATCGCGCCAATTAGTAATCAGTGGTGAGAAGTCTAGAAGCATTTACAGTTGGTTAAAAAAATCCAACTGAACCCATTAAACGTTGTGGGGAGAGCAGTAGTGGTAGTATTGAGCGGATCCTGACTGACGTAGGGATCATTCCAAGCGTATCTTTGTGCAAGTGCTTGAAAGAAAAGCCGTGAATATGAGACTGACAACAGAGAGAAAACTGAATCAAAATGTATCGCGACTTCAGGTCTGAATGTCGCAGCAGAACAGTGATTCAGAAAGCTAAAATCCAATGTAAAAATGCACCTTTGAACGGCCGAACAATCGTTGCAACTTGGATGAGAGAAATGCATCAGGAAAATTAAACCAACTGTAACCCTAGTGCCCACGCATGGAGGGCCAAATTCGTTGCGGACCGCGCTTAACCGTACAAGCCTCTGGGGAGATGAGTTTTTAAAGGAAATAGAATCAGGTGAACCGCGTGCTCAACAAGCAAGCGTATTGACTCAGACATGGAGCGCTGTTTGATGGAAGTACGATACAACAAGCTCGTTAACCGTGGGCGAGAAAGGTGTCCTAATCGGTCAGAAGAGATGTCACAAAAGAGCGGACGGAAACAAAGTAGACATATTGTGAAATTAGCAACGATTGTCGACCAATTACTATACCATTTGCATGCTGGTAAGTACACCGGGCGTAGGCCGGCACCAGGAAGGATGAGACGTGTGCGTTGAAATGCAAAGGTGCGGTTAACTTCGAAGTATCACTAGCCAGTGCGCGACTAGTGGTGATTCAGTGGCAGCGAAGCGTCGGTGTGGTGCATTGACGTACTGATGATGCCTTAGTTATTCTTCTTCTTCTAATGTGTAGATACCCAAAGCAGAAGAGAGGTAAAAGGTAAAAAGCACAATAACGGATGCGCCGCAAAAGCATCTTATTGAACATTTGAGTATCTAAAAATTTGCGACGAGAAGTGTGTTGGCTTACGAGTTCAAATAAAACTGAGAGTGATGTGTTGGAGCTTAGACTCAACAGTGGGCACAATGAACTAGAGAGATCAGAAAACGTCACGGAATCATCCGAAAGTTCTGTGAAGATTGCTGCATACACTACACAAGGGCGGATGTCGTCCATGGCGACAAAGCGGTTGCAAAATGTTTGGAACTGGCCGGTAATTCATAATTGTAAGAGGCTTGATGAAGGACAGGTTAATGTATCTGTTTCGCTCACAAGGAAGATATTGTGTCAAAAGCAAAACGTCGTACGCCAAACGAATACATTAACCAGGCGTCAAACAAGTCTTCTGAAAAGAAGTGGTTGTAGATGTATGCCGCATGTTTGCAACTGAGATGAATAGGCACATAAAGAAAACCGAAAAGTTGGGACTCTGGAATTAGCAGCTGATAGATACACAGAAATCCAAGATAGTCCGTACAAAGAACAATATGAAAAAATACGGAGGGACCAAACATGACTCGTAGCTTACAGAGGAGTGAAAATCGGAATGGAGTGGTAAGCTAGGGACCGTCTTCGATGTGGCGCAACTGTTAGTCTAGTAGCGCCGTTGCGTTTCCACTTATCAAGCGTACATGTAACGAGTAAACTTTCTAGATTGCATGAAAATGTTATCGGTAAAGTTACGAATTATTTGTGCACATATGTGCTCATACATATGTCATAATGTTTGTGGTACTAATAGAAGTAGCAAAAGTGTTATGCAAAGAGAACGATCAGAAGCTATCATGTTCGCATAATTCGTTCGCGCAAGTAAACAATCAACGTAAATTAATAAATAACGAAATACACACAAGCAACCGGCTATTAAGAACGACTGCGTGCACGTAGGTAAGTAAATCGCTCCTGACCAAGGACAATCACATTGGTAGTGGACCAAGAGAACCAAAAAAGCACATACATGAGAAAAATATGAAGTGAGCAAAAGGAATCAGCGTTTGTACCTCAAACGTGTTCGTGAGTTTCGATGCACTTTCATTGCGAGATCCTTCGGACAAAGCCGGTGAATCGGTGACTTCCGGTTTGACGCGGTTTAAGCCATGATCCGGTGGCACTCTCGAAGGACCAGTTGCAGTGGCCGCTACGAAGCGTTTCCCAGCACACCAGTTGACGAAAGCCAGACGGCAGTGTTCACTGACGCATGCTGCGGAACAGTACTGTCCATTCCAACGAGGATCCCAGGTAACTGGTTTCGCGCAACTAGGGTTGCAGCATCGACGTGATTCACCGGAGTCCTAGGAGAGACAACATGGAACATAGGAAATAAGAACCCTCTGAAAGAGACCTACTGTCTTGGTCAAGAGAGTTCCAGGCAAGGAAGTGTCAATTTCAATGAATCACGAAGCCCTAAAAATAAGAATAATCAAAAGACATAGGACGAAAGACGAATCTAAGGCGTATATAAAAACAAAAATGGCTAAAACCAACAGATAAGGTAGAACAGGACGGTCAAATATTGAACTCCATGGTCGTCTACTCTATTCAACGTGTGGAGGTCTCTAAATGCTGATGTAACCCGAACAGTGAGAATAACCCACTAAGGCGACATACAATATCCTGATCAAGTCGGTTTCCTCGTGCCTGCCCCTACGTCGTCAGTTAACTACATTAAGGTGAATCTAAAAGGACATCATCAATCAACACGTTAGCTAGGCGAGAGATACTTCAGCTATTGTGCCGCAATAAAAAAAGATGGTTGGCTATAGCAATGAAAACTGGTAGCTCAGGTTGTTTAGATGGCTGATGAACTGTGCGCTGAGCTTGGCAATTTTGTTGCAACAAAACTGCCAAGCTCAGCGCACAGTTCAACAGCCAAAAAATATGGTATTCCATCAGCTTTACTGAAGTACGGAGATCCAGATATCCCTATTCTTTTGCAGAACATATCTATCTTGTCAATAAAGGCCAGCAGAGTTCCGCATCACTAGAAACACGCTGATGTGGTACCAATATATAAAAAGGCTCAAAACGGAATGTTGCAAACTTCCGCCCGATTAACCACACTTCCATACCTCTTAAAGCTGCGGAGAGTTGTTAATATCCTGAATCCTGATTAGCCAACCACAACATGGTTTTATTAAACAGCGTACTTGTCAATTTTGCCAAATAAACTTCTTGAACCACATCACAAGCTCAATCGATAGTGGTAAAGCTCATATAATCAAATTTCTTGACATGAAAAGGGCATTTGACCTGGTGCCCCACCCTATCAGTGTATGGCATTGTTGACGCTCTACTTTCTTGGTTCGCCTCCTAACCGACAGAACTCAAGCAGTCAAGATAGACAATCACACATCCGGTCGCAACCCTGTAACAAGTGGCGTCCTTCAATGCAGCGTTCTAGGACCACTTCTTTCCTGAGATATGTGATATTTTTGACATTATTATCTATGGTAGGCCCTACATGTTTGCGGATGATATAAAAGTTGTGTACACATTTGATCCCAGAAATCAAGAGTCCGTGTTTCGAAACATACAAACCGACCTGAATGCACTTGAGGTATGGTGTTGCACATCAAAAATAAATTTCTCCGTCGAAAAGAATAATGCCATCTCATACAAATGTGACATGAATGCCCAACTGCTAACCTTCTTCGGCAAACTCTTAGCATATGGTAACCAAGTAAGAGACTTAGGGCTTCACTATTCCAGCAGCCTTAACTTCTCGGAATATGTTCAATACACTGCCGCTAAAGCCAAGAAAAAGAATGCGCTATTTCTCAAATGCTAAACTTACACTGTACACGAGTTGTACATGCCCAATGTTAGGGTATTGCTGTATAGTATTCGGCAATGCATGGCAGTGCTACAGTCACTAGAGCGCGTTCAACGTGTTTTCACAAGACAGATCCTGGGCTCTACTCAGAGGTTAATATATTCTGAACGCTGCAAATTGCTCATGTTTGATCCAACATGGCTGCGTAGAAGGAAGCTAAACTTATTGCTGCTTTTCGATGTAATTCATTGACGCATTCATATACCCGGATACTCTCCCCAATTACAACACAATAATCACTACCTTATCCGTGATAAAAAGTGCATACTTGCGATTGCAAAGTCGCGCACCAACATGCGTGCAAACTTTTTCCTCATTAGATATGCACTGATATGGAATCGTCTCCTACTGTCCATTAGACCATGCACATCTCCTCATATTTTGTGCATAGATAGATAAATTTCTCCCAGTCCCGAAAGCTATGCAACTTTTTAAGCTGAATATCGCAGACAGAGATTTATCCGAAGACCATATAATGCATGTCCGTGATATTTCCATTGAGCTCTTTATTGACATCACAGAAGCCAAAAAAGAAAGAAAAAAGACCAAACGTTCATGCCCACAATTCCAAATTTAGTACTTTCTCTCCTTACCCGGCCATTCCAACCTCAAGGCTTCCATATTAATATGGCCATCGCAATGAGGCTGGACCTTACCGTGGTGCGATGGTTTGTGTGCCTCAGTGATCCATTGAGCAATACGGTGTGGTGCATTTTTGCATTTTCAGAGTCACTCATACCAGATTGGTCAATGGTTAGAGCCCAGACAAACTCAGCCTCCTGGTCCTCCAGGTTGGGGGTTAGAATGAGGGTGGCTCCTTATTCCTTAAAACGGACTCCTTGTAGCCCAGTGCCAAACCCGCTGCCTTGCAGACAGGTTTTTGAACCAAAGGCTTTGGTTGAGAACCCTAACCGTTCTCCTGTCTAGGCCTGGGCAACCTGACAGCATCCTCCTCACGCAATACAATGAATCTCACTCCAAAGAAATTTGTGATGCTCTGGCCACCGCAGAGGATAATCAACGGTGCCATAACTGCTGCATCGGGCAGGGTGGATAGGCGATTGGAGGCTACTGCTCAAATCTTCCCGTCTTCTTATTCCCCCTCTTGCGCTTTTCACCCTTATCGTCCCGTTCCAGCTTTACTTTTATCCCCTCTGGTTTCAACCCCCCAATGCTAGGCCCTCCCCTACCTTCCTTCAACAGTCGCTTGTCTTTTAGTTTCAACTCACATGTGAACGCAGAGCGTCACTCCTGCACTGTCAACCGGCGCATGTCCAATCAAGCTGCTCATTCCAGTTCATCGGCTTCCATTTGGCGCCATCGATCTTCCTTCAGATTGGCATGCCTCAATGTTCGCACATTGCTATAGATCGGTCAACAGGCAGCACCTGCCCGAGCATTTGGGACCCTCTCGATCGATATCTGCTGTTTATCAGAGATCCGCCTGCAAGACTTGAGCTCTGTGCTCACTTTGCGATCCCCTTCAGGTGACACTAGCAGCAATTACTCACTGCGCCTATCCGGTGACGATACAGCTTCGAGTACCGGTCAAGCCGGTGTTGGTATCGCCCTGAACCCCAGGGCTGAAGTTACTCTAGTGGATTGGATCAACCAGTAACCGGATGTGTGCGGTCCGATTAGCTGGCTCGTTCAAAACTTCAAAGCCGCACGAGACTAACAGGTGTCTGTTCGTTATCGCTGCCTATGCACCGACAAACTGTAGCGATGACTCGGTAAAAAAACGACTTCTATCGTCAACTGAACGAGCTCCTTAGCCACAGAAGAAGCTCGGACACTGTAGTGCTGGCTCGGGATCTGAAAGCTCAAGTTGGAAAATTATCCACAGATGAGCGGCATGTGGGCGGCCAACATGGTATAAGTTCCCGTAATGATAACGGTGAGCGATTACTTCATTTGTGTGAGGATGCCCGCTAACTTCTTGCGAGCACTAATTTCAGACACAGCACCCGCCGGAGGGTGGCTTGGCGCCAACCAGCCTCGAACCAGCTATGGACGCAAATCGATCACATTGCGATAAGTTACTGTTGGAGAGGCTGCGTTCAGAACTGTCGCTCGATTTGGAGCACAGGTGTGCACACCGACCACGTACTTGTATGTATTGACCTGCAGATGCGCTTTGGAGGATGCCCACGACGACGTTGTGAGCGCATCGACAAAAGCCAACTGGCGAAGCCAGCTGTTCTGAATGCGTATCGAAGTATGCTGTCATGCGAGTTAGATAAACGCTCACTGGATGCAATTGAAGGTCACTGGTCTCATATTCAACAGACCTTACTAGCAGCAGGAAAATCCTCATGTGGTATGTCTAATCGCCAACATCAACATTGGGTCTCTTCACAGTCTCTGGAACTTATAGATGCTCGCCAGCACATTCCGGCTGGAAGCGAACACAATGAAACTCGCAAAGAGCTCCGGGCAAAACTCCGTGCTAGCCTGAAGAGAGACCGCGAATCCTGGTGGTCTCATCGTGCATCAGATATGGAAATGGTCGCTGCTCTTGGTAACCATCTTAAGTTATTCCGTCTGATACGGGAAACGGGTAGCAGGAGAACTGGTGTTAGTGAAACTATACGTGACGAGAGTGGACAGCCTATACATAACTTATCAAAACGCTTAGAGAGTTGGGCTGAGCACTTTAAAAGGCAATTTAATCGTTCGGAATGGTTAGATTTCTCGCTGGCCACTGATGACCCCGCTCCTGGGGCTGTCCCTTTGGATCCACCCTCTCGCTCAGAAATCGAACATGAGATCAAACTGTTAAATAAAACCGCAGGACCTGATAACCTTCCTCCAGCCCTCTTCAAATTCGGGGGACCTGCTCTTGTGGATGATTTACACGAGTTACTAGTGAGACTGTGGGAGCAGAAAACTGTCCCAACCGATTGGAGCCGCTCCATCATAGTCCCAATTTTCAAAGGAGGCTCAAGATCGGAATGCGGCAGCCATAGAGGAATCAGTCTGATCTCCATCGCTTCCAAATTGCTTGCCTCTGCCATCCTTCACAGACTGACTGGCACTCGTGAAAGCCAGATTCGTGAAGAGTAAGCTGGATTTCGTCGAGGTCGTGGCTGTACAGACCACATCTTCACCTTGCGTCAGCTGTTGGAGCACCGTCACACATATTGGCGGCTCACCTTTGTCGTGTTCCTCGACATCAAAGGTGCATTCGATTCGGTGGATAGACGTGCAGTTTGGGACTGTCTACTCAGGAAAGGTGTACCTGAGAAATATGTGAATATTATCCGAGCATTATATGCGCATAGCTCGGGCAGAGTGAGGGCTTACGGCAAGTTGTCGTCGCACATTAATATCTCCAGCGGCGTGAGACAAAGATGCCCGCTGTCACTTTTCCTCTTCAACTTCGCTGTGGACGAAATCATGGAAATCGCGTTCACAGGACACG